AGGGTACTAAATAGACAAATTGCCCACGAGTTCAATCTCTCATAAAGTCATGAAAATAGTTTAGGAACTAAAATGATCAATCATAAAATGTTCATAGGGCATTTATGTCATTTTCCTCTTTTTTAAACCATAGGAGGTCAATTTTAAAGTTTACTCCTTATCAAACAATTAGAACCTACATTTTCAATTATTCATGGGTTATATTATGAAATTTTTGAATCTTGTGTGTTGTGTCATTTAGTGACGTTTTAGGCATTACTTATTATTATTATTATTATTATTATTATTATATCTCAAAGTTTATATTTTTGTTAGTGTATCAAGGGTAAAAATATTTAGCAATGAAAGTAAAAATTAAAGGGGTGCCGACAATTACAATCCAAGACAAAAGGTTTTTCCACATGGACATCATGAACACGTAGGTCCACCACCATAACCAACTAACTACGTCCTACATGTCGTTTATTCCATCCATAATGAGACTAGAGAGTACGAACATCACCTCAAATGTACCAATTTTAATATAAAAGCATTTTTGGTAGCAAATCTTTTAATGGATCCCATATTCCACTAAACATAAAAATTAAAAAGTAAACATTAACCTATAATCGATGTTTTGTCATAATTTCATCATATAAAGAATAAATATCAAGTAAATTTTGGCCGTATTATATATGCATGTTGATCTTAACATTACATTGGTCATAGCATAACTTTACCACAACTATTGGATAACCCTACAATGAATCTTGAAAACAAAAATCTATATATTATTTTTAATGATAACTCAAATTAACTTGATTAAAAACTATGTTGCAAACCTACCATCATAGTTTTCAAAAGCATAATGTCTTTAATGATAACTCAAATACTCTTAATTAAAAGTTATGTTGCAAATTCGCAATCAATATAAATCGTCATAATTTTCAAAAGCATAATGATGAAAATGATGAAGCATAAAGATTAATACAAACCATGTTAAAAACACCGTAGAATCTTCAACATATTTGTTGCACGTCACGTGAAATTATTGTAAACAAGAAATCTGTCCGTTCAAGACAAACTAAAAGTCAAACTGGACAATACTAAACAGAAAATTAATTGACTAAAAATCAAAACAAATTGAAAGTAATTAATTGACTAAAAATCAAACCAAATTAAAAGTCAAACATGATGATACTAAACAGAAAATCGAGCAAATATTATTGATTTGAATGATTTGATAGGGATATACACAACAACAAGAAGAAGAAGTAGACACATAACATGTCAAATTGATCCTGAATTGACACCAAATTTGTGCCATCATTTTGAATTTGTTCCATGCATGTTCTTTTTTCATCCTTCTGTTTTCAACTTTTCAACTTAACTGACCCCATTGTAATTACTACTTAAAAACCGTAATTATTATTGGAGGATTGTCCAACTGGTGATGCTTAATCACACTTTCTAAACAAAGAAACTTCCATTCCCTTAAGGGTTGAATGGAATATCTTAATAATTAGAAGATTTTACTTTTACCCATTGTCCTTGTAAAAACAAGGTCATAACTAAAAAAATTTATGAGGGTCCACATCAAAGATTGCATGGCATGTACATATTCACCTAAACTCTCTATGCCCCGGCAAACTACGACCCACCGAATTGAACCAATGGTGTCTTGAGAAGCTAGCTTTTTTAGATTTTAGTTTTTAACTAAAAACACAAAGTAAAGGAAAAAAAATTATTCAGAAATACAAGCTTAAAACTTTTATTTTAAATAAAAATCTTGTATATAGAATATATTTTAAGTAGTTTTTAATAACTTTTAGCTTTTATGAGCATTTGGTTTTTTTGTTTTTATATAATTTTATATTTTTCAAAAGCTTACGGTTTCTTTCTTTTGCCCTAAATAAAAACAACTCACACGTTGGAGTTTACCGACTAGTTTCCTTTTCCAATGGGTTGAACTTAGCACCATACATTCGGCTTAAAAAGCTCCCAGATGAACCCCGTTAGTGCTTATCTCTTTGCAATGTGAGGTCAAAATCGCACTATATGTCAAACATACCCTACTCAAATATGTCAACAACCAAGCTTACCGTATAATCCTTTCATATTGTCTGCAAGGCTTTATACTCTACATAACTTTTCATGTTATATTCTCCAAAACCAAGTTGTGTACATTCATGTAGTTTTTTTTTTTCAGTTGGTTTGAGTGGCAAATTATGATTATAAGCAATTCTTATGACAACTACCTTCAATATGAAAATTTATGAGAAACACGTTATAATTTATATGAGATAAGTTACTTATGAAAGTTAACTTTGGGAAGAAGATTAGGTGATATTTGTGTTGGTTACATCTAGATTCCCTTGGTTGAGACAAAGCTCATTACCGTGTGTCCCTCACACCTAAATGCATAATTATATTTTAGGGATAATGACTTAAAAGGGTAACATATTATTCGATTTGTACACATTTGGTCACTGAGTTTTTTTTCGTCCACATTTACCCCTTAAACTTGTTAAACTGTACACATTTAGTCTTTATGACCTGTTACTCCAGGTTAGCCGGAAAAAATGACTTGATAGGGTAATATATTTTTCATTTTGTACACATTTAGTCCTTAATATTTTTGTACATATTTAGTCCTTAACATTTTTTTTTGTTTCAAAATAAGTCTTTTTTTATACTCATTCAGTACTTATGAATGATTTCTTTAGGTTTTTTTCACGACATCTTACGTGAGACAATCATTGATGAGGTGTTTGGGGTTGTTGATGCTTATGTCCAATGCGATCTCGACTGCTTGGTTGCGTAAGTCTTGTGGTTTGGCTTAGGTCTTGTATTTTGAACATCGTAACTTCTTCATACGATATCAGATTTTAAGGATCTTTATCCACGTGTTCATTTTTTGAGTCTACTACAACTTTCATTAAGATTACTCCCGTTAAAATGTAATATATTTTTACTAACGATTTTATAAAAAAAACATACATACATGCATTCATAAAAAACGTATGGACAGGGGAACACGCAGTAATACATAGTAGATGTTGCCGAGATGAAATAGGTGTTGTCGATACATGGAAAATAGGTATAGACGTAAAAAAAAAACGAAAAATTTTCCACTGATAACAAAAAAAAACAGGTGTTGTCGGTGCAACACCGGGACCATACTAAATCCGTCACCGCGTATGGATATAAAAATCGTAAGTAAAAATATATTATTTTTTAATGGGAGTAATCTAAATGAAAGTTGTAGTAGACTAAAATACGAACGCATGGATATAAAGATCGTTAAAATCCGAGATTATATGAAGAAGTTATGACGTTTAGAACACATGACCTAAGCAACCAAGTAGTCGAGATCGCGATGAATATAAGCATCAAAAGCTCCATACACCTCATTAATGAATGTACCACGTAAGATTTTATGAGAAAAAACTAAAAAATCATTCATAAGTACTGAATGAGTACAAAAAAATGACTTATTTTGCAAAAAAAAAAAAAAGACTAAATGTGTACAAAGTGAGAAATATATTACCCTATTAAGTCATTTTTACCGGGTAACCTGGAGTAGCCGGTGGTCATAAGGACTGAATGTATACAGTTTAACAAGTTGAAGGGGTAAATGTGGACGAAAAAAAAACTCAGTGACCAAATGTGTACAAATCGAAAAATATATTACTCTTTTAAGTCATTATCCCTATATTTTATCCTTTCCATTTTTGTTTCTTAAACTTTTTTTGTTACAAAATTTACTTTTGATTTTTTTTTTCACAAAATCTATATTTATATAGTCTTTTCTATTTTAGCTCCAACCTTTTTTTTTTGTTTCGTATATGCTATTATATTTTAAATTTTATTTTATTTTTTATCGTTTGACTGGTCACCAACAGATCATGACGTATCGGTTTGGTTGACGTGGAAATTTTTTTCATTTTGCATTTAACCCAACATTTACGTCTCACTTTGCGTTTAGCCCTAATATTTTTTTATTACCCATTTTCCATTACTTTTTTAAAAGTTTTTTCTTTTTTAGATCTTGGTTGATTTGCATCCAAAGCCAAAATTTAGTACATGTAAAGGGCTTTGTAACCTGATCTAATATATTTCTCAAACTTTTATCCAAGTCCTTCAAAATCTATTGTTATCAATCACTATGCCTGCCTTAGACCTTTTTCATTCAAAGCATTTGGGCATTTATCCTATTTTGAGTATTTTGTGTAATTTTATGTCTTTGGTCATGAAGCGTTGGTGTTGTGTATTAGGATCAATCCACACAACAATGGTTGGGTGTCCACCTGTCCATATTGACTTCAAACAGTAAAAATACATCCAGGATGATGATCTCATAAAGCTTCATCCACAACATAAAAACTTCACATAGTATGGCATATGAAATGTAAGAGATAAGAAGCCTACAAACAAATTATGAAAGTTCATAATTCTCTAGTAATAAGCATAACAAGGCTGACTTATATTTTTTGATGACATTGGAGTTACATATACAAGATAAATGAAATAACTTTCTTATGGGCTCCTGAAGACTTTGTATAAAGAAAAGTTGTATAAATAAAACGAAGAAAATATAGTATTCAATATTTTCTAATGACAGACAAAGGCTAAAAAAATAATAAATAAAAATAAAAATCATAAAACTAATCAAAAGAATATTGTGGCTAAATGTAAAATGAGATGCAACTTTTATTATGGTTTTTGATTTAGATTCCTGAATACTTGATAAAACTCTCCGAAATTCTTTTTGAATTAATATATGCACATTTGGTGTTTTCATGTTTTCCATTACTTGTAAATCCAATCGAAGGCATAAACAATCAATCCACTACTCTAGGACCAATTCCATCTCCTCAACTTGACAAAGTTAAGTAGCAATCAATAATCATTTTTAAATGAATCTTTTGTGGATTCACCCAACACCAACAAAGAAATGCTTGTGTATTTCTTGGCTTAACCCATTAAGCACTTCTTTAGGGATCAAGTCAAAAAGAAACAACCCACCCTATATTCCCTGGACCAAAGAAAAGCCACATGTTTTCCACAAGATACAATCCATCACAACACAACAGTAATTAAATGGGATTTTTAGCAGACTTATAAATAACAACTCATGCTAAAAACTAAAAACTAATCTAGAATAAAGTTTAGTTTCTTCACCTAATACCTTATCTTATTCAAGGCAACAAGAAAATCATACATTTAACATTCCTACTTTACTTCTCTAAATAACTTACATCCATATCTTGCACATCATTACCGTTACACCCAACCACCTGCATCATTTTTAACAAAATCCAAATTAATCAAATAGGTTTCACAAAACAGCAAAAAAAAAAAAAAAAAAAAAAAAAAAAAAAAAAAATCAAAACCAAATTCAGAAAAATGGCAACGTACTTTGATGAACCTGATTCTCACTCAAGTCTCTAATTGTATATCATGTTCTCATTGCTTTCTTTGTATGAATCCAACTTCCAATGATCTCACCTGAAACACACAAACAGATTTTAATATTTTATAAACAAAACAAAAAGTCAAAAACCAAAAACCAAAATGTTTTTTGATTTACAAGGGCGAAAGGGTAATTTACCATTACTAGCATGCATCCGTGGCTGGTTCATGTGCCAATGGAAGAGGCAAAGGCTTGTAAGAAATCAATGGAGTATAATTAAGCTCATAATTTACAACAATGGAACCAAAGATGTTGAATTTTCCAGCACTGCTATGAGCAACTTCAGCATCAGAACATTTTTTAAAAACAACTCTAGCACGCCCACTTTGTCTATCAACTTCAGTTTCTGATTCCATTAAAGGCCCAAATCTTCTAAACATTTTATTCAAATGTATCTCAGAAGGAAAGTAAATCCCCTCTGTAAACTTCATTAAAACCTCAGTTGCCAAATTTAACCTTCTTCTCTCAATAAGCTCTGATTGCTCCTTTGCTTCAATCTCATGATTGCTGCTAAAAAACCGTTTTTTATTCGACCTACGACTTTGTTTCACAGGTTTTTGTTTCTCTTCATAGGCCACAATCTGGTGTGGATGCTCCACACCTCCGTTTTGGTTGTTATCATGCACCACCACCGCAGGTTGCAGCTGCAAATCTTCCGGATGGTTCTGGATGATCCTGTCCGTCCAATACGAATCATTAACATCATCAAACTCGAAATCTTCCGGATCGTTTTCGTTCGATGGCTTTCTCTTTCTAGTCTCATTAACCCTTCCAGGAGTAGATGAATTTTGCTTTAAAGACTTAGAAAAAACCGCAGCTCTGTGGCTATAAAAAAAAGGGATTATAGTGTTCAAGAAGGTGTACCCTTTCATTGGATCTTGAGCAGTTAACTGAAGTTGTGATAACATTTCGGGTAGATTTGCTTGGGGGTTGACCGGGTTGACCATGTTGACCGGACTTTGAACAGAATGAGAAAGTCCAACTGTTTGGTCAACAGGTTCAACGTTTTTGTCACTCAGTTGGTTTGCCACTCTTTGAATGAGTTCACCAACTTTGAAAGAGGGTTTAGGGCTTGGAGTTACTGTTTCCAGAGTTGGTCGTTTCTCTGGAACCGAAACATCGGAATTGGAATTGGAATTGGAATCAGAAGCCTTTCGTTTTCTAGAACCTTCTTCACTGTTTCCAGGGTAGTATGTTGGATCTACTTTTAAATCTGAGAAGATTCTCTCTTTCTTGATGACTTGGTCAACCCCTTGAGTCAACCCCGAAGAATCTTCCAATAAAGTTCCACAAAACTGAAACTCGGACAGCTGGCGATACCCTTTGTAACGTGCACACGATAACAACTGAGCTTTTGCCATTACAAGGTCCATTTTGTCATTTTCATCATATGGAGACTTTGCGAGTAGTCTTACATAGTCGATAAGTTTATCAGGCTCAAATGAGGTCACAAGGGCAGTTTTGTCCATACCGTGTCTTTTACTTGATTCTTTCTTGATTCCTGCGTTCTCGACAATCTGACATTCGATTTTCTTGTAGATGTCGTGAGGTGTGCATGAACATGCAAGTCCCAATTCTACCCTTCTGGAGACTTCTTCCAAAGCACAATGGAGGGCATTGTTGAAAGCCTCTGAATTTGTATGTTTTTCAATTTGGGAAAATTTTGCACGAAATGGTTTCAAGACTGTTGAATCGTTCCATGCGAATGTTCGATCTCCAAAATACCCGACTAAAAATCGATCTTTTTTATGATATTTCATGGCTTTATCGGATGCATCAGATGAGTCAAAGATTTGACCAGGCCACCATGGATGACTTCTGACTTTACCCCAGACTAAATCAGAAGCAGAGAACTCACCTTCGTTTTCTGGTGGGTGGAAATAACATGATTGATGGAAAGAAACAGAAGTTTCATTGTCGAGTGGCTCGCTGACATCATCGGTCAATGTTGACTGTTCTACTTCTAGTGTTTCTGTTTCTTGTTGTCTGCAGAAATCTGTATGTTCTTCAACATCATCATTTACCTGCACACGGCGTTCATAGACTAAAGGTTTTGAAAGTCCATGTTCAAAATTAGCTTCTGGGTTTGTATTAATCTTGAAATCTTGATCTTTTTCTTGACCATGTAAAGAATCAATTCCTGGGATTTCATCTTTCCATCCCAGTACTTCATCAATGTCCATCCCTGCATCCTCTCCATAATCTGCATGACTTGTTGCATGGTTGACTTCCTCAAAAGTTTCCACAGAAGTTTGAGAAACCTTCATTTCAGTATCAACATTCAAGATCTGGTTTTCTACCAAAATCCCACCTACACTGGAAACTTGCACTTCATGATTTGGTAAATTTTGAGCAGTTGTCACTTCATTGGCTACATTTAAACTTTTATGAGATGCATCAGCTGTCATAACTTCTATCGTTGTGTGTAAACTCTCATCTTTAGGTGTTGGGTCAACTTCAGTTTTCTGGTCAACCACCATGGTGGAGGACTCTTGAACCTTTGATAAGTCTAGAACTTCAACCTCTTTTTCAGGCTTTTCATCCATCACATGATCTTTATTAACCATTTCTTGAATGGAACTCATTGGTTGTTCCACAATCTCCTTGACCAAACCTCTTTCCGATTCCTCCTTTTTATCTGTTGTATCAATTCCAGACTTTTGATCATTATCTATTCTAACTCCTGTTGTTGAATGTGAAGTCTCTTCTTTGCTCATTTGAACTTCAGATTTCTGAGCATTTTCCTGGACACTACCTTCACCTGTTCCTGCATTGACTCCACCACTCAAAATAACATCTTGAGTTTTATCTTTTCCAGCTAAAACCTCTTCTACAATCACCTTATCAACTTTGGAAACTGACTCCAGAATCTTTGTGGAATCTACATCAGCAACTTCTTGAACAGACTCTGTAGCCTGTTTCTCTGTTAAACCCTCCTCTACATTAGGATTATCAGTGGATTCTGAGCTTGGATCCTTAGAAACACCATCTTGAGCTTCACCTTTTCCAGCTAAACCCTCCTCTACAACCAACCCATCAGCCACTTCTTGAACAGATTCCATACCCTGTTCCACTGTCTCCTCTGCTAAACCTCTTTCTGCTTCACCCTCCCCCCCAGCAAGTTGAACCTCTCCACCCAATGACTGAAGAGCTGCATTAGAATCTCCTGCCTGAGTTCCATTTCCAGAATCTTGAACATCATTTGTTGCAACTTCGACTGTTGGCTGCAAAATCTCTTTCCTCGTTTCGTCATCTCCAGATTGCTGCTCCAAATTTTCAGGGCTTACATGGACATTATCTGCAGTGATTCCTTCATTGAGAGCCTCTGTTGATGAAACTTGATTATCAACACCATCTTCACCTTCATCTTTGCCAAATAACCCCTCCTTTACAGCTGCCACATGAGCATCTCGTGAACCAGGATTCACTGTTGTAGTGAATGACTCTGGAAAATTTAAGGAATTTGAAACATCAGATTCTTTTCCAGTTGTCTCATCCATCACATGGTCTCCATCGGCCAGTTCTTGAGCAGATTCTGTATGCTGTTCCACAATCTCCTTGGTAGAATTTCTATTGTTATCCCTCACTGCACTTTCTCCTCCACCAGTTTCAGGCTCTTCACTTGACTTCTGAGCATCACAATCCATCGCACTCACAACAGTAGTCACCACATTCTCCTGAATAACCTCTTTACTGACCTCTACACTTGTCTTCACGCCCTCATCATTCACCACCACCTCAACTTTCTCTAAAGTCACAACTCTAACTTCTTCAACTACACCAACTTGGTCTACATCCATATCACTAGACTGAATTTCTCTCGTAGAGCCCTCTTCCATCAAGCCATTAATACCCACCTTACCTTCCAAATCAACCCTTGTACCCCCACGATCATCAACAACCACATCGGCTCCCACAACATCCACCACCATATCCTCTCCTTCGTCTCTCTCACCGAAAAGCCCCTCAATTTTCCCTCTCAGGGTTACAGTTTCATCAGCTGTAGTAGAATCGACAGTCGCAGTAGATTCCTTGACGGTAGGCAACACATCATCCTCTTCTTTCATATTTGAGAGCGTAATCCGAGTAGATCAGTAACAATAAACTATGTATGTACTTAAATTTTTACCTGGTATAGATTCAGAAGCAAAGAATTAAAACCCTAACTTTGTATGAGAACTATTTATATGCATCGAGCACCTACGACAATTGAGAAAGAAGCCATCGTGAAGAAGAAAACGGTAACCCTAGAAACAGAGATAGCGTACCTTGTCGATGCCGTCAAGCTGAACACTGGATCGAGTTCTAGAGAGAGAAAGTGAGGGTTAAAGTGAAGTACGAATTTTGGTCTTCTCTTTTTATTAGATTTCTATCAATTTTACTTTTACATCAAAAAAGAGCAGAAAATATGGTTATGTCTTTTTCGGATCTCAACTCCGAAAAATAATTACATTAAAAAAATATTAAGAAAATATCAAGTTTTTTGTAGATTTGTAATTTGTTTCTCTTAAAGAGTTATATCTATGGGTGAATAAGGTTTCATTTTCACTTAAAATTAAAGCTGAATTGGAAGATAAATGATTTATAGTGTCAAAAAGCAATTTCTTTGATTGTTTTTATTTGATGTTTTGGTTTTTGGTTAAACTAGCAATATCAATGAACCTTTTTGAAGTTGAAAAGTTGAAACATACGTAAATTACATTATTCATCCCTTGTATATGTATCAAAACGCACGTTTAGTCTATATTTTGAACAGTTAACTCGGATCGTTCCTTGTTTGATTTATCTTTGCACGCTTCATCCCTCAAAGACGATTTTATTGCGAGCTTAGTCCATTCTCAAACTGAAATGATGATAATACCCTTTGTGTTTTTATTTTTCAATTAATTTAATGTTTTTATTATTATTATCATTTTTTTTTAAAAAAAGACCTCCTTCACTTTTCCCACCCTTCGATTTGTTAATAATCAGAAACAAACACATAACTCAATGAGACCCTGATCGAAAACAAACACAAAGAGGAGACCTAATGCGACGTCCCAAAATTTCCAAGTAAAAAATTCATTTTACATAAGTTAAGACCATTCATTCATTGTTCCAAAAGACGATCAGAGTCAAAGTATTCTCAAAACATTAGATTAATTCATAAACACTCGGTGCGGAATAAGTCTTTAGGGGATGTAGTGCGATCAGGGCGGACCCTTTATTTGAAAACAGAAGTATCTGAAACCATAAACATAAAACCCTAAGCACAAAGCTTAGTGAATTTCCCAAAATACCACATACCAAACATACATAACAGCTCGAAGCTACACTGGGTCTATTTCACCCCCTTCGGTATCTGTAACACCCGTGTTCCAGATTAGTTAAGCTTACTTGTATCAAGGACCAAAGATGGAGTTTTTGGTGGAAACTTTGTGTCATGACGTGGCCAAGGAAGGTCACGTCGTGGCAATAAGTATTTTGATCGCGTGATTTTCGGACCACCACGTCATGGCCAAGGAAGGTCATGGTGTGGCAGTTGATCAGGCCCAAGCTCGTGACTCTTTTAGGGTACCCTTCATATTTAAACACCTCTAAACCCATTTTAAGGTTCATTATCAGCCTCCAAACTCCCTTTCACCTTAGAAAACCCTAGCCTTCATTCCTAGTGTTTTTCTTGAGCTTTCTTGGCTTGAAGAAGAAGGGAAGAATAAGAAGAAGAAGGTGATCTTTTGGTGGAGCTTGCAAGGAATCAACATTACCATCACCTCATATTGTCTCTGGACCTTTGTAAGTGTCCAAGTTACTTGTTTTATGACTTTTGGTGGTTAGATCTCGAATATTGTTCCATGTTCCTCATGTTTAAGCAAGTTTGGAGGGAAGGAACTTATAAAGTTGGCAACTTTAAGACTTTCCTGAGTCCCAAGAGCATCGTATGTTGTGGATCTAGCATTTGGTAGAAGTTCTTGTCGTTTGCTTAAGTTTTGGTCTTTAGAGCTCAAATTTGACCTAAAATGGATCTTAGACATGTAGTGGACATACATTTTTGTAAAGCTTCCACCTTTTATGAGAATCTGGTTTTAGAAACCCTTATAGAGTAGTTGGGTTAACGACTTTTTCGGATTAAGGGCTTAATGGTTAAGACATTATGGATTTTGGCCTTATTTGGACCTAGGGTCTAAGATCTTGATCTCTTTGGGTGTATTAATGGATAAAGTTGGAAACTTTATGCATTTAGACCATAGTATAGACCAAATATGAGCTTTAGAGTTCTTGGAATCAAAGAGAGCAGCTTGATCCATTAAGCTGCTGGAAACCCAATAGGTCGTCACGGCATGGCGACTGGGAATTTCTCGTATGTTTGGTTGGGTGAAGGCCACGACGTGGCGGTTGGCTAAATTCAACTATGGTCGTTAACTTTGACCACTGACTCTTGGCGTGGGTTGACTTTTGGTCAATCTCTATCTTTAGAAGGTAGACTTAGGGTTTGCCTTGTGTGGATTGTTAAGAGGTGTTTAGCACCCATCTTTTGGCGGTGAGAGTTGTTGGTTGTGATCAGTGCGGCGTTGCGCGAGGTTTAGTCAGCATTATGATTCAAGTAAGTCTCATCATGGTACTCGGGGGTCGAAGGCACCAATGTCGGCCACTGGTTTATGTTATATTGGAAGAATAAGGGTGGCCCCTGGCATTTGTATGAAAGACATGGAGGTGGCTCCCGATAAATTATATGCAAGACCAGGGAACAGACTCTGTCAGTTATATGTAGTATGCTAGTTGTCTTTATGATACTTGCATAGAAGACCAGGAAATGGCTATTGGCACTTTTCTGTAAGACCCAGGGTTTTGGCCCCCGACATGGCAAGGAAAGACCATGATACGGATCATGGCATAATGGGAAGACTATGGTTGGCACATAAAAATCTCTATTGTATGTATGGTATGTGGTATCTTGGGGAACTCACTAAGTTTCTTGCTAACGGTTTTATGTTCATTGTTTCAGGTACTTCCGATACGAAAGGGAAGGGCCCAACGTGACTGCACAACATCCCTTGACATTTTCCGCATTAGCTTTTTATGACTTTTACTCTGATGTTTAAATGATATAATTACTTTGGTTGGTTTTGGAACAAATCATTTGTATTGTTTATGGTTTTAAAATGAAAATTTTTATTATGATTTTTTGGGACGTTACAAGTTGGCATCAAAGCCTTGGTTTGAGGGATTCGGACATACTCTCGGGTGTGTCTGAACTCAAACTGAGGAATTGGTAAATTTTTGAAAGAAAATAAATTTCCTAAAAATATTTTTAAAGAATGAAGGGTGTGATGCGTGCAATCAGCCGAGCTCAAGTAATTGATTCCCATAATACACATACATGTTGATATGTCATACGTTATGAGACTTTCATTCTAGATTAGGGCTAAGGATTTGCTCAGGATTTAATGCTAGGAGAGATGCCTTTATATGCCCGTTGTTTGAGCTTTTAAAATTGCATGCTAGTATGGATTTCAGATGATTGGATAAAATAGCTTGATTAGGTGGTGCGATGGTTAGATTTTCCGATACACGAATTTTGTTTGTTTTGTGCTTTGTGGGACTCATACTAATGTGAGCTAATTATTTCATGAATATGTTAAGTTGCATGCTGCAAAGGTTAAATAATCTCAGAGTGATGGATTTGACCCTATTGTGCAGCTCATGTCTGAGTCCAACCGTTGTAGGGTTGAGTCTTTTAGTCGAAGGATTATTTAAGCTTCATTGCATTTAATGGTATCCATGAATTAACTATTTGACATTAGTAGGGGACCTTCATCAGCTGATGGCAGGGTGGGGTGAGGAACTTATGAAAGCCAAGGAAGTGTTTCAGTGGGTTTGGATGCGGGGTTTAGCTAGTACTTGGAGTACCAGTTTGAGAAGGTGACTTAGTGGATTCGTGATGATTCTTGAGGAAAATATTGATATGTGTGGAAGGTAGTATTGGGCCCGTACTACTGAAAGCACAGGATCCATACTCGAATTGAGGAGAGTCACGGAGAATCTAGGAAGCCAATGGGATGAGGATTATTTGGATATGTTCTGATCATTTGTATGATTGTTGTTCATAATGGTGATAAGCACGCGTGGAGGAGGTTCATGTTCTGGTTCATGCTCATGTGCTGGTGTTGAGCCCATTGATGAGCAGATGTGGGAGTTCATCTCGTCGGAGATCGCCCACAGTATTTTGGAGCAAAGTCCTATGATCTTTGGTTCGGTGAAGGAGGGGATTATCGAGATTTTGGATGAGCGTTTGGGCACGTTCCGCACTGAGATTTTGACTATTGTGGGAGCTCGCACTTTTTCCTTCCGCAAGTTCCGTTCTTGTGGAGCTCCAAAGTTCTTTAGGGAGAATGACCCCATTGTTAGTATGAGGTGGTTAGCAGACATGGTGAATGCTTTCCGGACGAGCTTCTGCCCCGAGGGGTCGAATGTCAGATTTGCTTCTTGTCTTCTGAAAGACAAAGCTCAAGATTGGTGGGAGGAGGAGATTTCGCTTTGGGAGGCGTGGCCATTGAGACGATGACTTGGGATGAGTTTGTGACCCGGTTTAGGGCGGAGTTTGCACTAGCTATTGAGGTGCAACAGTTGGCGAGACAGTTTCAGGACCTTCGCCAGACGACTGAGACAGTGGCGGAGATCACGACCAAGTTTAGGGAGAGGTCTCTTTTGGTTCCACAGTATGCCACAGATAAGGAGATGAAGAATACAAAGTACCATGATATGTTGCGAGACGATATCAGTGAGTTTGTTAGCTTTTCAGCCTGTCTTGCTTTGGATGACATGATAGTTAGTGACCGAGAGCGGGAGATTGATTTGGAGCACCTCGGGAAGAGGACGCCAGATCAGGTGCAGACAG